CGTTGTGCCCCCGTTTTTAGAGATTTGGGTACGGAGGAAAAGAGAGAGGGTTTTATTTTCTGACGTTGCGTGAGTTTCTTTTCATTTCCTGCTTCTTCACACACATGCTCTCCAGTACAGGTTAGCTCTGAGTGTTAGCGATGCTAATGTAAACACCGACCATATTACGTCCAAAACAGTCGGGCATTGTTTCTGATAGCAACGTTTCTGATAGGGCCGTGGGTGTAAAGCCAGCCCACATTTCAGATATTACGTCATATCGGACGTAAATCTGGATCAGCTCCGTTTTTCCCCCGTTTTTAGAGATTTGGGTACGGAGGAAAAGAGAGAGGTTTTTATTTTCTGACGCTGCGTGAGTTCCCCGACACACCGGGGACACATCTTTATGTATAAAAGACATCAAAAAGTGCATTTTGCATGATAGGTCCCCTTTAACTTTTGCTCAGAGGTGTCTTGCACTTTGATTGTTAGTCTGGTTAAAACAATACTCTTTTTGCAAACCCTTCATACCAAATAACATCCATTTCTCAGTCTCTCTTCAATACTATAAATATAGAGTATTCCTCTCAGCTGTACCCAATCAAATTCAAGTCTTCATCACTTGAAATGTGCACAATTAATCCCTGTGAGAAGCACTAATTCTCCCAGGATTTAGATATTATCCAAAAGTCTGCATGATTGTCTATTATTATTTTTCTTTTGATGTAGATCTGGATCAGATGTAGATAACAAGATTCAAGAGTGTCTATTATTAGAGTAACTGATTTGGATGATTGTGCCGCATATTGGCAGCGGCACCTTTCAACTTCGTTCTGTTTGTGTCTCAGTCTTTAATGATTTTTTAGTCGTTTGAGATTGTGTTGCTATATGTCACCTGATATATCTATATATATAGATATATATATATATACATACATATTTTGCTCGCACTTTTATCCAAAGCGTCTTACATACACTGGAAAAACAATGTTCCACATGTAATGTATTTGACTTTCTTTGCATATAAAGTCTCATCACATTTAATCGTTTACATGAATGTGTGTTTTGGCTGAAATTAGTCCTTTTTCCTCACACATTTTCTTAATTCACATCATCTCCCCCTCAAATTGGATATTTAGAAACGTCACTGAACAGCTTGACTTAACAATTTCCCATGATGATTATAGCTATACTCAAATATATCCCATTTTAGCCCAAAGTTTAATTTTATTTAAAAGTTTTTTGTTGTTCTCAAGCTTTTGCCAAGCAGTCTCACTTGTAGCTCAGTGAGCCAGTGAGTCAGTGAGGGGCCGGGAACCCGAGCCAGCACAACTATCTATAGTTTCTGGAAGTGGGAGGGCGACAGAACGAGGGTGAGAGACTATCGTTTCACTCTCCCTCTCTTTCAGTTCATTTGGGTTTTCAGTTCATAGAGAGGAAGAGTGTTTTCAAATTGTGTGGAAGTACAGACATGTGGGTGTGAGAGGAGGGAATTAAATGTGTGTGTCCTACAGAGTGTGAATTTGAGGATTGGCAAGTGAAAGTATAGTGACACGAGTTTAAGTGTGAGTGATTGTGTGTGTGTGTGTGTGTGTAGACAAACAATGGCCTTAACTCGCCTTTTTCCTCTGCTCTCCCTCCTCCTCCTCTTCATCCCTCTCTCCACACTGGGACAACGCTACCGGAATTATCAACAACTCCAACAAAAACAACAACAACAACTTCATCTTGGCAACTACGAAAGTTTCAGCCCCACCTGCCAGCTCGGGAGAGAGGGGGAGCTGCTGTGTGACCAGTGCCAGCCCGGGTACACAGGACCACGCTGTGACAGGTAACACACACACACACACACACACACACACACACACACACACACACACACACACACACACACACACACACACACACACACACACACACACACACACACTGAACCTGAAACGTCACACTGATGATAAGCACAACTATGCTTATTCTTTATGTCAATAGGCTGAAGTTACTGGCTTCAGATGCATGTGGAAGTGTTGCCAAGTTCAGTTTCTGAACACAAACATGGAAATAACTATCATTATTTATCAAAACATGGAATTGTACCTCCATAAATCTTGTGAGGTCAAACCTTTTTTTAAAGTTGACCTGCATTTCGGTCTAATAAGTACGACATGATGAGTATGACTATGTTTCACGACCTTTGCATGATTAAAACAACACTTTTGACCTTATTTTGGAATTTCATACGTGGATAAAAGCTCTTCTCTTTTTTTTTTTGTGATTGTTAAAACTGACTATTTGGAAATAGTGGAAAAAGAAATCAGGTCACCCGTCCCCAATGAAAACAGAACTCGCTGCTCATTAACAGTTTTTAGAGTGCTCTGTTTCGCTGTCCATCTAGCCCTCTGTCCACAGCACATTTATTATCTGAGTGACATTCTTGTTCCATTAGCTGTGAGCTTCTTTACCAACCCAGCACTAATGAGACGCCTCTCTGTCTTGCTGCTTACAACTTCAGGCTAAGCTGTCATGTGTTGACGCAGAGTAAATATCGTCTTTTCACCATGCAGCCTCACTTAAATACATTCGGACTGTTTTCAACCACCCACAGCTGAATTTATGAGTTATTATCAAGTATATTTAAAAAATTGATACAGTAATATGCTCATTTTCAGGTTCATATTTGTGTTTTGTGCTTCTACTGTGACATGTTTTCATGCTTCAATGTTCAAAAAGCTCTTTATTTTTCTCATACTGCCTGTGCTGCAGCACCTCTTTCCACCCTCTGTCTGAAACCAGAGCCCAGTCTGCTCTGATTGGTTCCCTGGCTGGCTCTGCTGTGATTTTTCAACTGCTTAGAGATGTCATTCGATCACGTAGAATGTGTTGGAGCACTAGCCAATAGAAGCACGAGTGTTACCTGGTGATGTCACTTTGTTACAGAAGTAAACAAAGGAGTCCAGGCGAGAGTGTGGGAGAGAAACTTAAGGATTTTAGCTTTTGCAGACCATGTACATGCACAGAAACCTACAGTATACAGTATAACACACTACAGGAAAGGATACCCCCGCCCCCCCCCCTATTTACAATTGTAGTAAACCTTGTACCTTGTAGCTCTAATGAATTATACTTTTTCAGCAATTCCAGATTTTCTTTTGGCTGGCGTTGCATGTTGACTTCACGGTGAATGTCAGGTGACTGTTGTTGTTGACAGTGTAATATTAATAATGTACATGTGTGGGATGAGCTGTGTGTTCAGGGAGGTCAAACTGCACGATGTGGTGTAGTAAGGTTTTCTTTGAGATTTGATGCATAAATGAATAAGTGACCTCGCACAGTTCATGATTTCCATTTGAAGAGAAATGTTTTGTGTGTAGTCTTACCGTCTATGAAAGTCTAGGAAAGAATCCCACATATTGTATACTTTTTTACCAAGTATAGCATCTCTCCACTTTCCAGTAAGTCAGTCTTTATAAAGGGTTTATACATTCATTATTTATTAATTAGGTAAAAACAAGTCCTAATGCTCCTGACCTACAATAACTATACCTTTTTGTATCTAGAGCGATAATTATGTTGACAATTTCAATCCCAATGGTGAAACATTGTGCCTCAAATAGTTTTCTCTGTATCCAGCCTCCCCTGTGTTGCTAGTTAAAAGGAGCATGCATAGTCCACATGCTTCGCCATGCTGTCCACAGCAGAATCTCTCCGTCTGCATTTTAGTCTTTTTATAAACTTCATTTGCCACTGGAAAGTAAACAGACTCATTGTCAGTCCATTTTCTACCTTTGTCTGTCACCGAGAGGCATCTGCACTGCGCTATAACCCAGACAGAGAACAATGTGGTCCCAATCTTTCATAGTCAACTTCTCCAAATATCTTTCTGATGTACTCACATGTCCAATTAGTGAGAGGGAATGTGCGTTGTCAAGCGACTTATACTGATACAACTCCCAAAATGATCAGAGAGTGTCATGAGGGCTGCTTTTGACGAATAGAATAGAGATGGTAGTGTTTGGGGAGATTGTGTTCAAAATGTGCTTGTGTGCGTCTGTCTTTGAATATACAGAATGCATCTGTGAATGTACATTATTGATATTTTTGTGTGTGTGTGTGTGTGTGTGTGTGTGTGTGTGTGTGTGTGTGTGTGTGTGTGTGTGTGTGTGGTTCTGATGCCATATGGTGCCTCCAGTCAGTGAGAGAGGACAGCTGGTAAACAAATGAGAAGGAAAGATAGTCTTGCTTGCTGTATTGACTCACAGAACAATAGGCATAATGTAAAATAATATTTTATTGCTGATGACAGTGTTAAAGAGGTAATCAGCAGTTGGTTGTTCCTTGTTCTATTAGTCTAATTGATACCTGCCATGCGCTACCTGCCATTACACTTCATTATCTACAGTGCTTTTGTTATTGTTAGTGGTAATTCATTGTAATGTTCCAATTTGTCTATATTATGGGCTTTAACAAAATAAGCTACTCCATTCTCCCAATGCTAATAGACTCTCCAGTCGCTGCTAAGTGATTCTGCTTTTCAATTTCCTGTCCATAAACAGCCATTTAGCATTGAGCTGAAAGCTGTTTAATGCAACTGCCTTTCAAATAAGTCCATGTGCTTAATTGCTGAGTAGTACGCTGCTATTTAGAGCCATCAGGGGTTTGGCAGTATATCCAGATGTTATTGGTTTTTAAAGCTTTTTCACATTTTGCACATTCATTTGGATTTTGTGATTTAACACTGTCTGTAAATACCGTATGATAAATATGACACATTAAATAGAGGTATTTTCAACTAAAATGCAACACCAAGCGGTGCTGATGACTATGATTGATGGTAATGTTTATGCATTAACATGTCAAAAAATACAAGGGTGAGGAAAACAATAGAGAATAAATCTGGTGAAAACACATTTAAAATATTCTTTCAAGTGAGGTGCATATGGTGGACAACAGGAATTTTACATTTAAATGCTAACAACTATAGAAGGGCTAGACCAAAGTCCTGCAACATGGTAAACAACAGCATTGAGGTTTATAGTTCCAAGTTACCTGAACAGTTTGATTGCGTGGGGATTGGCATAAGTCCAAATGTTCTAAAACAACATGCATACAATACAATGAGGTGAGACACTGAATTGTATTTTAAAGAACACAAAACAAATACTTAGCAACTGTCCCCATCCTACATTGAATTATAAAGATGTTGGAAGTTGTAAACTTGCATTTCAGAAATCTTGACACTAGGTAGGAAATAAAAAAGTAGTTTTGAAATGTGTTTTTAACGTAACTCAATATTTGTGGAAGAGTTCATTTATACCGTGCATCTGGAATAGAGAAATATATAACGGGAAATGTGAAGGCTAATCATATTGAACTTAAAGGTGGTGTATTGTCACATTGTGTATACTTTTAAAAGCCTTTAAAGAAAACGTGGAACATTTTTATCGGTTTTATATACAGGTAGACATTTGAAGAATACATTCCCTAAAACCTAATTTCTTAACTCTTTATATATAACTTTTTTAATAACTTCCTAATATCAATGACAAAAAAGTGAAAAAAGCTCATCCAATTATAACTTTTGCTCAAACTTTGGCAGGACAGTTTGTGTTCATGTAGCAGCCCATTACTCACAGGGAGATAATGATATTATAGGTTTCACAGCACTTTCAGCTGTACTATACATTTTTTGTTGGCAACCCCAGGTAGATACTTAATTTGAATGTTAAGGACTTCAATAGAGTGAGAGAGTAAGAGATAGGAGTATGAAATTGCCCTTTTTATGAGAAAAGTGCTGATGCTTCCATAGCTCCACTTACTGAGTGCAGAAAGGCACATCTGTTCTTTGAAGGAGACTCAAAGCTGCTTTATGGGAGCTGTGCGTTTGCAGCTTTAAATGGAAATTGCAGTAAAAGTTAGTCTTACTGAAACAAATAAGAAGTTATTTGATCTTATTCCTATGCATTTATTAATAAGCATACATACATTTAAAAGTAAAATATATTCAATATATTTATTTATATAAAAGTCAAATTGTACTCCTCTAAAAGAACCTACCCCAATATTCTGCTTTTAACATGCAGTAAAACTCTCAAAATGTTTGGAAAATTATGTGAAATAATTATCCCCCCCCTCCCCACTTGCAGTATAACACTAAAAATAAAATAACATAACTTTTAGTATGCCTGCTCCTCTCTTCCCCCTGTAACTCTCCACCAGCTGTGCTCACCCTCCACTTCCTGTGCTCTCTGAAGGCTTCGACCAGGTGTCTGAACCCCCCCCCAAATACATCTCCATTTACACACTATTTAAACTATAAATACCTTCACTTCCTCTTTAGGTCCAAGTAACTACACACACAGGGACCTGTA